GATCCCCTTAAAAGTCCCACCGGCTGCATTCCCACAACCTGCGTAACTTGGTCAGTTGAGCCATCCATTTTCTGACTTGCCCAAGACATCAGATCCTATGCTCAGCAAACGGGCCGGGTTTACAAAGTCCCCTTTAACCAAACCAAACTTGGCAGGTCGTGGGAACGCACCTGTTCTGTGATTCCCCAACCTGGTTCAGCAGGTACAACAGAATTCAGAAGACTGTAATAAACCTGCAGATCAGTTGACCAGCCAGCTTCGTTCTGATCCAGAGAGGTTCAGCCGGCTCCCACCCACCCATCTATCGCTGGCACCCTCCTCATTTTTATAGATCCCTTCCTGATGGATATGTCCATACAGGGTGGGGCTTTTTTTCTGGCAACAATATGAAACTGGTTTATCTTTACTTCTTTCCAGGACTGTTCTTGTGTTTGTTTGACTTCCCCATTTGGCTTTACCTGTTGGTCCCCCATCCAAAGGCTAATCAGATTTGCTTTTTCAGCAGCCAAGTCAACTCAAAAAAAGGGGGGGTTCTGCTCTATTTGCTTTAGAAAGGACAGAGAATCACTCTGGAAGCATGCAGCTCCTTGGAAATATATTCTGCACATGCTCCAGGGCACTCTTATTTTCATGGTTACTATATCATCCACCCTATTGATTGATTGATTGATTATGTGCTATCAGGTCGATTTTGACTCCTAGCAACCACATAGATTTTTCTCCATGAACCCTAACCTATACATCCATGCAAACTACATTTCTCTGCTTACATTAATAGCTTGGGGTGTCACGTTCCTTTTGCTACGTAGAAAATACCTTTAAAAGCTTCATCCGGGGGGTTTCTAAGATACGATCATCCTGAGTGGGGGCGTGCTCCCGGTTATCCAAAGTTCCCACAAACGTTCAGTTCACCAAATCCTAAAAAAGAAGGAAAAAGTTATCCGTGCCTAAACGGATTTGGATGGAGGGGAAGGGAACAAATTGAATTGGATTGCAGGAAAACCCTCCAATCAGATAAATACATATATTTTTAAATGGTCTGTTTTCGCAGTCCGTGTTGTATAACTTCTCATGTGCAGATGGTTGGGTGGGGTTGCGATTAGCAGTATGGTATAGAGTGCTAAAGACGGCAGTTTGAAATTGAGGATTTTCTTCTTCTTCACCGTTTGTGATAGTTTGGGAAGAGTTTGGGGGCTTGGAGAGATAGACCAGCTGCATGTAAAATTGGGAGTTACATCCAAGCAGGAAAACAGACTTCTGCTGCAGTTGATCCCAGATTCCTTTCTGATCTTGTCCTGGCTGTGTTCACACAGCACCCTAAGCCCCATGCTAGCCAAACATGTCTAAGATAGTGGTTCTCAACCAGCATTGCCACGGGCTTGTATCTAGCGTGCCAAGAGATTTTTCTCTTTTTTCCCCCCAAATGTTGTTGTACTACGTATACTCTGTATAATCTGTATATTCAATACAGTGCAGGTATTTTTACAAAAGTATAACTTCCCCTTGAACGATGTCCTACACGTTTAGAAAGGCATATATACGATTCATAATTTTCGGAGGGGCCACAGAACTCCTGCTATATCCAGTATTGTGCTGTGGATTCAAAAAGGTTGAGAACCGCTGGTTGAAGGGGTTGTGTGAACCCAGCTTATGTGGTGAGTCATGGCTGCAGTATATTGTCCAAAGCCAGAATGCTGGATTAATTCCATAAACCATGATTGATGGTTATTCCATAAACCATGATTAAGTGAACTGTTGTTGTGAAATAGGTCACAGTAGCCCAGCAAGCCTTTGTTGTTCTTCTTTGGAAAATATCAGTATGAATCAGTAGCTATTAATCTGGGGGTTTTTTTGGCTGGAGTTATTGGTGTGGTCTGCATAATGTATGGTAATTTAAGGCTTTTGCTCAGCCCAGTGGCTGGAACCCCAGTTATTGTGGATTATAAACCCTGGTTTAGGGCACTATGTATAGTGAGGACTGAGTCAGTTGTGCTTTATTCAACAACCATGTCTAAACAGACCATGGTTTAAGCACAATATATGAACACACTTAAAACCTGATGTTAAAATCTCAATGCTGGAGTTATGGGTATATCCATGATTATAAGTGCTTTATCGTATCTTTTGAACCAACTGCCCCAACCTGGCCATCCTCCAGATGTGGGTTCATCCCCCAGAGTTCCCCAGATGCATGAACTTCATCTCCCAGAATGCCCAGCTAGAATGGCCACTGCTGAGCATCCTGGGGGTTGAAGTCCACACATCTGGATGGAGAGCTTTGCTTAAAGCCAGAACTTAATCCTTCCTAAACTCTTCCTAGCTTTGTGCCACTGGCTCTATTATTGAGGCTGTAGCCCCAAAACATAAAACCAATCTTAAAAAGTTGATGTAGAGGTTGCCGCTGCGCCGTTTCCTTTAAAAAATCAAAATCTTCCAAAATTCAAACCTTGACATTACTGTAAGACATTGAAATTGGAACCAAGGCTGCACAATTTTAATTCATCTCAGCCTTGCTAAGCTCTTTCCTCAAAGCCTTTGATCTCCCTCAATCTGTTTCAGCAATACTTGAGAGTTGGGGTCTCCAATGGGGCGCCCAGGGGCACCAACATGGCTGCAAACACCTTCCTGCATGCCCCCACAAGGCTATGTCCCCCTCTGATATTTTGCATCTTTCAATTATTTTTTATTTTTTTAAAAACCACCACCAGCATTATGGTTTTGGGCCCCACAAGTTTTCTTCAAAAATTAAAATATGAGCTCTGTCCCCATGGCTGCCATCCAATGAACCAGCTATCCCCTCCAGCAGCCATTTTGTGACAGTGCCCACAAATGTCCTCCTCCCACCCCCAAAGATTGGGGACCCTCCAACTTGGGAATTATTAAAAGAATCCTTTGTTTTTCGGGAACCTGGTGGAGATGTAGCTTTACTGTTGAAATCTGTTTAGGGGGAATGAAGGTAGCCTTTCGAATAATTGATTTGCCATCGGCACCATCCGAATGGGGGTCTCCCTCCAATAGATGCGGGTGGCTTGAATGAGAAAGAAAAAAGTCCAAATTGTGGGCGGGGAGGATCTTTGCATCTTTGCCTCGGGGGCAGCCCAGCCTGGTGTTGCAGTTGTGGACAGGATGCAATTTTGCAGCTGCAAAGTTGACGTGCGTGTGATGTTAAGGAAAGGCCTGGTCCCAATTCTGCGATCTGTAACCCTACAGTAATAAGAACAAACCAAATTCAATATCCAGCAAGCAAACAATGCAGGTCTGATTCAGTTGCTTTGTTGCTGTTTTTTTTAAAGAAAATAAGGGGGAGACAGAACCGCTGCGTATTCTGCAATCTGTGCAGAAAGGTGTGGGTGACTGAGATCCCCGAGTGCTGAAAAGACATTCACTTTCTCCCTGTTCCCGTTGCGTTCCAGGCTAGGGCGGGGGAAGCAAGAAGTGTGACTCTTTGCAAAATCAACCTTCTGTTTTCTAGGCTTGTGGTGAAGAAATGCTGATTTTCAGCCTTGTTTGGAGGGCACACCATGGCGGTGTTCACACAACCCGCAATTTTGTGCCTGGATGAATCCGTTGTCCAGTGCAGCGCCCCATCCTAAAGCGTGAGCAAACCAAACAGACTCGTTCGCACAATGCTCTAAGCCAGGAAAAAAAACCACACCGAGGTTCTCCAACCCTCCAGGTTTCGTTTGTGTGAATGCAGCCGCCAGATCTTTCACTGATCTGGGTTAAGTGGATTGTGCAAACCCAGAAATCAGGGTGCAGTGTTTGGGGAACTAAACCAGGATCCGGAACAGGGAGGTACTGTAGTTGGGTGTTTTTGAAGCCTCTCCCTCTTCCTTTTCTGATGGGGACCAGGATGGGAAAAAGAGTGTTGCCTTGGCAACAGGGAGGCATTAAATATCTGAAATGCTGCCGTAGTAACAGTGCGGAGGTAGTTTAGGGCTGTCGCCATGGCAACTTTCAGGACTGGGAAGAACCCTTCGAAACCCGGAGATGCTAAATGTGTTTACAATCCTTGGGGGGGGGGGGAAGGAGATTTAGTATAGGAAAACAACAAAGCCATGCACGGAAGGGAGGAAGTGAGCTAATGCAAAACTGGGGGACGAAATGACGCCGGGTCGGGTCGTTGTGAGCTTCTGGGCATGTCTAGAGCACCGACCTCAGCTGCAGTTAAGGCTGCTCTCTGAACCCCCTTTTCCAGCAAGTAAATGATTTCAGGCATTTCATTTCTTTCAACATTCATTTCGTTCAACAGATAGAGGTTTGGATTTAGGCTATCTACCTATTGCATTCAGACTCTGGTCTGGTGGGGAAGGTCACAGGCCAGGAGCAGAAAGACCCCAGTTCCACCGAAACCGGGGCAATCTCTCCCTCTTGGCCTACCTCCCAGGGGTGGTGTTGTTCAAGGGAAAACTACATCTTGTGCTGTGCTAGAATAGAAGTGTGTATGAGCTAAAAAGACTGAACATCTGACTTTGGCTCATCTTGAAAGCGAAGCCAGGCCAGACCTGGTTAACGTTTGGATGGAAGACCACCAGAAAAAGCGGCTAGATTGGGAAGGCCAAAAACACATCTCAAAAGTTAGACAGCGGGAAACAGTCCAGGTTGTCCCCTGGAGATGAACCAGGTTGGGCTTCTATATGGATGGGAGACCACCAGGAACACCCAGGACTACAGGCTCGACTGGGAATATATTTTAAAACAGCATCTTGGAAGAAAACAACGGCACATCGCTTCTGTATGATGGCCAAATCCACGTTGAGGGGTCCGTGAATTCGCCAAGAATTCTGAGAGAGTTTTTAAACCACGTATCCCTCGGATAATCAAACGTTCCTTCTTGGTTATTCCTTTTCTTCTGTTCTCTGTGCCAAACCGGACGTTGCAAAACAATAACAAGAAGAAGGAGAATTTAAGAGAAAGAAAGGTATTTTCCCCCAGCACCTCTTGCTGGAAAACCCACATGCCCACCTGGATTCACACAACCCTCTGCTTTTCCTTGCAGGATGGTGCTAGAAGGAAGCCCTGAAGCGGTGAGTTCTCATTCGCTTGACCTCCGTCGAGCATGTCCCCAGAACGGACGCTTTTACCCTTCGGCAGGGGACAGTATCCTGTTAACCAAAAAACCGGTGAAGTACGGGGAGCTGATTGTCCTGGGGTGAGTGAAAACATTTCTTCTAGGTCGCCCTGGACATTTGAGGGGCTCAGCGTGTTGCACGAACCCTGCTGCTCTGACTGGCAGACGAGCCACACGATTATTATCCAGTTATTCCAGGTTAGAGACAGGGAGACCTAAAAAAACACTTCAACAGGTAGAGAGATCCAGACTTCCACAACCCAGGAGCTAAAGCAAGCTTTGACTGGCTTAACTCCAAATCCAGATCACAGACCAGAAGCTTTGTGGCGTTAGGCTTCCTGAAAGCCTCAATCTATGGTTTGCTCTTGGTTGATGAGGTTTTAAGGAGGTTTACGAGGTTTGATGAGGTCTGGGAGGGGTTTCATGATTGCTATACTGTTTTAAGGGTCTCGGTGGTTGCACGCCGCCCAGAGACATGTTCTAAATAAATAAAATCTGCTAAATCAATCAGTAAACGAGGTTGCCTTGGTGGGAAATGAGCAAGCCACCAAGTAACCCCAAAGATCTGTGTTTGCTCAAAAGTTGGTTACTGAATTCACTCATTGTCTGGGTTTGCATAATGCAGCAAATAGACTGATGAACGTTGCTGGGTCTGCATTAAACCCCTCTGAACGCTTCAGGGTGCCAGGGAGAATTGGATGAATTAAGGAAATGATGGTTCGGTTCAGGAGGTTCAAGCGGGGGCACCGTTTAATGTGCCGTTAAGCCTTTAGCCCCGATACCTCTGGTAGGCATTGGACTTCGGAAGGAAGCACGGCGATAAATCTCAGTTTGGCAGAAACCCAAACTTCTATCGGAAGCTTCCCAGACCTGAAATGGCTAGCTGCACGCCCTTCCTCCACGCAGGAGCGACGTAATATATGTGTAACCACCTGCCAGCTGCAGGAACAGAGGAACCGAGGTTGATTTATGCGTCTCGTGCAAACACGGAGATGCCTCCGAACCTCAAGGCCTGCAAAAAAGCAACCTCAGAAGTACAGGAAGAAACAATCCAGGGTTCTGGAAACCGCCTTGAAAGCCGGATAAAATATAGCAAGCCCCCGTGCCCTCCTCTTTTCCACGCGGGCATCATGATACCCTGCGGGATGGGGCTTACGTCGTGAGCTCTCGGATGGCCCCAGAACTCACTGCTTCCTTGCCGGTCAAAAACTAGCCAGGTTTCTGCAGGGGATTGCCAGTGGCCAGCTGAGAACAGACCCTGGCTTGTTTTTGGCGGGCGAGGCATCGTTAAAGCACCGTCTTTCTCCTCCTGGTGTTCATCCGCGACTTGGGATGAAAAAGGAAAAATGGGAGTCGAGGGAGATCGTTGAACTTCACGGACCGTAAGGGCGATGTGGCTGTATTCGGTCTGGCCCAGGTGGGTAACCCTTGTTGCCCGGGTCTCTCCCAACGCAGGTACAATGGCTGTTTGCCGAATGGGGACAAGGGTCGCCATCGCAGTCGCCTGGCGCTGTACAAGCGGCCCAAAGCCAATGGGGTTAAACCCGACGTCATCCATCATATCTCCACACCCCTGATGTCCAAAGTAAGTCTAAAGACCCTCCTGGTTTCAGAACGGTCACCCCCATCAGTGTAATGCAGTGTATCTCCACCCATCTTCAAGTCGATGAGGTGGAGATACACTGC